AAGTGGCCCATTCACGGGATCATCAAAAACTTGCTCCTTAACCAAGGTGGTAATTTTAAAAGGGTGAAGCGGAATTGTACTCAGTACATTTGGGACAGGTGACAGTCTAATAGGATGTTCTCCTGTACAGGTTTCACTATGCTCATTGGATTCAAAATAAAACTAGGGTTTGCAAAAGCCTTGAAGCTTGTGAACTGTGCTGGATCTTGAAATTCCATTAGCTTGCTGAAATAAGATACTTAAACATATAGCATGTCTGGTGCAATTTATGAACCCATGCTCCCATACAAACAGTAATTCAAACATTGGGCGAAATCTTGTTTCCATTCAATCGAAAAGCTCCGATTGAGTTCAAGGTAGACCAGGATTTGACCATTATTTTCAAAGGTAGCTTTTATAATGTGTGCTATTTTGGTGATAACAGGACACAATTGTTCCCACTCAACATGTCAGTTGCAGTGAAGTTGGAGTCATCAGCAGGGCCAGATTAACCCATCACTGGGCCATAGGCAAACATACACTCTTGGGCCCCTACTTTCTAATATGAATAACAACAAACAGCTAATAAATGAAAAGAAGAGGAAAAGTACACCTTGATGATGATCCCTCCCATTCAGGTCACTGCAGTAATTCCTGTCTCAGCCTGGTCACTTTCTGCTGTTAGAGAAGAAAGTGGTTTCTTTTACTCACAGCCCTTCTCTCTCTTTGGCTCTGCTGGGAATGGCAGTGAGTCGCACTTGTGTGTGAGAACTATCTTTGCTCCCCCATTCACTGGTGTGCATTTGCATGCAGATTGAAAGTACTTCACTCACTTGACTGATTTCAGAGTAGCAGCCCTGTTAGTCTGTATCCGCAAAAAGAAAAGGAGGACTTGTGGCACCTTAGAGACTAACCAATTTATTTGAGCAAAAGCTTTCGTGAGCTACAGCTCACTTCATCGGATGCATGCAGTGGAAAATACCTATATAAATCTCCCCACTGTATTTTCCATTGAATGCATCCGATGAAGTGAGCTGTAGCTCACGAAAGCTTATGCTCAAGTAAATTGGTTAGTCTCTAAGGTGCCACAAGTCCTCCTTTTCTTTTCATTTGACTGAGTGGCTTTGCAACCTAGTGCATGGTGGGGGTTGCAACATCACTGACATTTGGCCCAGCTGCCCTTCTGTCATGTAAAAAAACAAAAATCAAAAACATTTCCCCCACACACACAGCCATGAAACTGAGCCCCAGGCATATGCCTAGTTTGCCTTTGCATTAATCCAGCCCTGGTCACCACATGGCCCAGTATTCACTCTTCAAAGAATTTGTGTATTATTTCTAGTTTTGTTATGTAGATTCATTTTGGAGAAGCTGTTGCAAACAGCAAGAAACTTTGCACTCTGCCTTAATGTCTCTAAGTAGAGCCTGTTCTTGAGGTAAGAGTTGTTCCCTGGGAACCAGGCATTAGTGTTTTGGTGGAGATTACTAAAAGAGGGATTTGTTTGCTGGATGTTTATGAAAACTTCAGTTCCAGGACTGGTGAATATACTATGAATGAACCAATTATACTAAGAAAATGCCCAGACTCAACATCACTGATTTCTCATCCGATGAGAAATCAACATGCAAGACCTCAACATCTGATACCACTTAGCAGAGGGTGACAATATAAAATATAGTGTGCTTGCCTTGGTAAAGTCGTAGGAGAGGTTTCCTCTCTATTTTTTTTGGTATGAAGTCGTCTAGAGTAATAATGCTGTTGACAATGCTGCTGCTCTACTGCCTACTGGTTTCACAGTTTTGAAATAATCTTTGTTGTATGTTGAAACTAGTTATAAAATGTGCCATTCGCAGGGAGAGGAGGGGACAGTTGTATAAAATGTATTTTTCTTTACACTGTGAAGTTTCTGGATTTGACAAAAACTGATAAAGAATGGGCAGATAGCTCTATATATGAGGGACTCCTATGTAGCTATAATTGTTGGACAAACGCTTAAGACCGGACTCTGTGATTTCCGCACAGCATTGGGGTCTGGTGAAGTTCTGGGAGGGATTGAATTTCAAGCAGCATAACCCCAACTGGAGCTCCCAGGCACTAGGGAAAGTATAGACTGCTCCTGAATTCTAAAAAACTACCTATTAGAGGTGATGAAGCAAATCCATTTGTTGTTTGAAATCTGCTCACAGCAAGGAGATTAGTTACATGCTCAACAACGCCAGGAGAGGGGTATCAAAAAGCCACACTGATCTGGGGTCCTGCTTCCAACTGCTTTTTATTTGGCAGAAAAATTGCTGGAATAATGTTAGCTGTAGCTGGATTTGTAACAAAAGCTATTAAGTGACCTCTGTTAGGGCTACCTCATCTGGGGTATTGGGTTGAGCGTCTGGGTGTCTGTGAGTACTCTGCTGATTCTGTGATACTCTTAGTGCACAGCCATTAAATTTACTTCGAAACTAAGTCACCTGAGCAGAGATTTTTAGCCACAATGCTCATCTCACCATGACTCTAAGTAATGCCTTAAGACTAAATAAATAACATTTTTCCCTTTTATCTTTGGTACTTTCAAAGAGCCTATCCACATGGTGTATGAGGCTGTATTTGCAGTTGTGGGATAAGCCAACCTTGCTAGTCTAGTACTTCAAAACCCCCAAAGGTAGCAGGAGAAAAGTGGGGAGAGTTGTCAAAAGGAGCAAAAGGTAATGGTGGGACACTGGGCCAGTTGGCACATGGGGATGCTAGGCGTAAGGAGGGCGGGTCACGGATTGTGCTGGCAACCCCAACCCAAGGGATACTTGGCAGTTTCTGTTGCATTTGCTTTGAAAGTGGGGTGCATGAGCCCGGACACACTGAAATTGAAGATGTGTGTATGAACTCTTACGACCCAAAACTTGTAGGTTTTGCAAAGCTTTATGGGCAGTCCCAGGAGAAAACAGATGGAAGAGGGAGCAGACCTAATTTGTTAATTATGTCCCTTATCTTTTAAAATTACATGAATCATCATGACTCTTTCAGCCAAGTCTACTTTAGATATACAGTTCTATATCGCAGAGAGTCCTGTGGCACCTTATAGACTAATAGACGTATTGGAGCATAAGCTTTCATGGGTGAATACCCACTTCGTCGGATGCATGTTGTATGTGGTACAGAGCACATAATAAAGTGATTGCCAGCAGCATTTCCCTTGCACCTTCAGTATGTCCTACCAACAAATCACTAACCTGAGACAATGGCTTCTTCTGTCCACAATTGATCCCTCCAATAAAGACCATATTGGGCATCACAGGCATGGGATACTCAAACACAAAATCAACTCTCTTCAGCCAAATGGATCTATGAATGCCGGCACTGGCCCCAGGTGGCTCAGCCCTGGGAGGTGGCGGGCCGAGCAAGACAAGCTGGAGCTGGAGCTGCGCTGGGGAGCGGGGCAGGCAGACCCCTGTGGGACGTGACCCCCGAGAGCCCCCCAGCCCAGCCCAGCCCGCAGAGGAGCAAGTGGGCAGAGGAGACTGGAGGGGCAGGGACACCTGGGGTGGCCGGACAGCCGACAGGAGCACGGGCGAGGGGCTGGAGAGGAGAGGAGCCAGCCTGCGGTGGCCCCTGGGCTGGCAGTGCAAGTGAAGGGCAGCGCCCGGCCAGCTGACGGGCCCCTGTTGAGCGTGGGCCCGGCGCCAGGGTGCCTCTGGCGCCATTGTAAACCCGGTACTGGCTGTAGTGTGTCCAGTGAAGACGCTCCACGCTGACGGGGGAAGAGTTCTCCTGTCTGTGTAATAAACCCACCTCCATGAGAGGCAGTAGCTATGTCGGGGGGAGAAGCTCTTAGGTTGGTGTAACTTACGTCGCGTGGGGGGAGGGGGGCTTTTTCACACCCCAGAGCAACATAAGTTCTGCCGAGATAACCTGTAGTGTAGACAAGCCCTACACGATGACGCCATACAGAGTAATACCGCTGATATCGTTGCTGCTCAAGTGCCTACAGATACAGTAACTCCTCGCTTAACGTTGTACTTCTGTGCCTGAAAAACGCGACTTTAAGCGGAACGATGTTAAGCGAATCCAATTTCCCCAAAAGAGTGAATGTAAATGGGGGGGTTAGGTTCTAGGGATTTTTTTTTTTTGCCAGACAAAAGGCATTATATACATTTTAAACAATTTTTAAAAAGCAATTTAACACAGGTATTAAACAGGCTGGCAGTCCCCCATCAGCTCCCCTACGCTCCCCCCTCCCCACTGCCTACCGCCTGCCGCCGGACTCCATGGATCAGCACCTTCCCCCTGCTCCCCGCCCCCAGCAATCCGCTGCCTTGCGCTGTTCAGGAGGGAGGGGGGAGGCTGCACGCCACGTCCTCGCTCCTCCCCCCCCGCCTCCTGAACACCGCAAGACAGCGGATTGCCACAGGCGGGGAGCAGGGGGAAGGTGCTGATCCGCAGGGTCCGCGGGCGGGAGGCACTGGGGGGAGGGATGTCGGGGGGCTGCCAGCTGAGGGCAAAGCAGGCGGCCAAACGACATTATAGTGGAGCATTGCACAACTTTAAATGAGCATGTTCTGTAATGGAGCAGGGACGTAAGATCAAAACAACATTAAGCAAGAGGACATTAAGTGGGGAGTTACTGTATTTTTTTTCCAGCTGCATTGGAATAATCAATGAGGCCCCAGGGCCTTCACAGCCTGCTCCATAGTTCTCATAACAATGTTAAATCACCTACATTTCACTCGCTGTCTATGCATCGCTTCACAGATGCATCTATTTTAAGAACAGAAGGAACGATTAGATCATCTTAGTCTGACCTGCTGTATAACCCAGGCCATAGAATTTCACCCCTTTACTCAGCCCAGTAACTTGTAGTTGACTACAGCATATCATAAAATATGTCTACTATATATACACACTATGGCGTGTATCTAAGATGGTACATACTATACACTATGTGGAAAAGTTAATGTTGGTGCCTTATCTTGTCTATGCTTTCTTCCTGAGCATATACGTGTTCTTATATAATATGTGAATCTCAGCCACGTACCTGAGGTAGGTTGTTCCCCTCCTCACAGTTTATGCCTCCGATGAAGACCATGTTGGGCATCACTGGTCTGGGATACTCAAACACAAAGTCGTATCTCAGGAGCCAAATGGAGCCATTTTGGTAAAGTGTTGGTACGTGCACATCTCTCTGGAGAAACTTCGAAGCAATGTCTTGGTATTTGGTGTACAAATCCTTAAACAGTGATGTCTCTAAAGAGCTAAAAAAGAGGTTCAGCACTCGCTGGGTAAATGTCATGTGGTCTGTGTAGCTGGTATAGCATCTTGGGATGTAGGAAACAGGGTTTGGAGATTTACAGATTGCATGCTCTAAACTGCATGGAAATCCACGAAAGAAGTACACGGAAGGGATGGACAGATACTCTGCCAGGATCACCCCACATGGCAAAGCTGGGTCTGTGAAGAGCACATCAAATTTACTCTCTTCCAAGTACCGTATGATTTCTCTGTTCTGCAGGAGGCTGTCACAGTTATAGAATAACAAGTCCAGTACAAACATGGCACTGCTGTATGCTTCTGTGATCATAGTAGGGAAGGAGACTTCATCAAAGGGCTGGTTAGCAAAGAAACGAAGACGACGGCCTAGCTCTTCCTGGGCGTAAGGCACAGCGTACGTTTTCCTTGCGTAATGCTCTGATTCTTTCAAGCACAAATTAACTTCTGGAGCAAGCACTACTATTTCATGCCCTTTCTCACTGAGCTTCTTCACCACTGCACGCATGCTGAGCCAGTGACTTCCATCCTGAGGGATCACCAGCAGCCGCTCACCTTCCACAAACCCCGAAGACGCTAAGAAAAGAAAAAACCCTGCAGCAAACTGGTAAAGTCTGGCAATGACTGGAGCCATCTGCAAGCTGGAAGCAGATGCTTTGACTCTGCAGGTGTTAGTTCAGCTATAACAAATGGTTTCTAACACCACCCAGACTTTAGCGCTGCTTGCAACCTTTTTGAACTTACTGTCTCATTTATTTTTAAACTCTGTGGAGCTGGCAAAAGAAAACACTTCTAACGGACAAATTCTACCATTGGATTTGCCGGCATCATTTTCAGTCAAGAAGAATGTCTTTGATTTACTCATTAACTTAAAGTCCATTTCTCTACACTTAATTGCATAGGCCCCTTCTGACCCCTGGTGCCAGCCCGTGAGAGTCAGCACATTTCATCACCCAGAGGTGTCTTTGTGGTTGTCAATCATTCATAGACTAGATCAGCAAAAGTAGTGATCTGGGTTTGTGCCGGTGCGATGCAAAAAAACCCCCTAATGACCCCACGTTTGCAGCAGTTGCTGTCTTCAAACAGTAGAGATTTTGGATTGCTAGGTTCTTCTGTCCTTCATAAAGAATTGCCTGTTTTGTAACAGGAATTGAATAGGCCATCAGCATTCTATATTGTGTCACTAAACTCTTTTTCTGATTGTCTGTTAGTGGGTGGCCAGGGCAAATACTAATATAGCCACAAGGCTGCACACACAACACAATTGCATTCAGCTTGTACTATGCCTCCAGGCTAGTCCAGTCTTCATGCCCTTTCATTCCTTGGCATCTCTGCTGAGAGTGACAGAGTACCAGTTCTATTCATAGGGTGACCAGATAGGAAGGGTGAAAAATCGGGAAGGGGGTCGGGGGTAACTGGCACATCTGGTCACCCTATCTATTCAGGATGTGGACACGGTAAGAATTGTGTGAGCCACACAGGACATTTAATAGCCACAGGAAAGTGAAAACTTCCTGCTCAGGCTGTGATCTCATCTGCTCACACAAGCTGATCAGGTTGCCCCATGTCAACATTAGAAAAGGGAAGCTCCAAAGGACGTCCAGGTTACTGAAGGTGTTGGTAATTCAGTATGTACCCCTGTGACGGAGTACACAGACCCCACGCTGATGGAGAGGGGATTAACGAGATTCTGTGGCCTTTGGACTACAACCGAGAGCAGAGGGCAGGCCTGTCTTCCCCTACTGGCGGGGATGTGAAGACCCCAGAGCCGAGGGCTGGTAGGCCCACAAAGCCTGAAGTTGGGCTGAAGCTGTGATGTGATTCTGCCACTCTAGTGCCATGCTGGACTCAAATTCCCGTGGATGGGGAAGGACTAAAAGTGGCCTGGCCGAAGGGCAAAGTCACAGGAAAAGGCAGAGCAGGGCAGGGCCAGGGCTGCTGTCGGGAAGGGGTGCCAGAGGAGGAGGAGAGCAGCGACAGCATGCCCTGCCACAGGGGGGTGCACCTGCGCTGAGGAGACTCTTCCACAGCCACTTATCCTTGTGAGCCTGCACCAGTGTCCTACCATGGGACCACTGTGCTTCTGTTAGTTCCATGGTTTCGCTGTGATGGATAGCCACGGTCCTGGCCAGCCCCAGCCACTAAAGTCTGTGTTTTTGCAAACCTATTCAAATCCCAGGGGAGCTTATTATGTTCTGCTCACTTTGTGGTAGCAATTAGTCTAACAATAGTCTTGTTTCATTTTCTGCCCCAAACTGTTTTGTGATGTTCTTGTATGCTGTTAAATCGCTTCCATGCTCCATCACAGAGGTGGCTGCCCTGAACTGGTGGCAAAGTGAATCTTGCCCATATATTGCTATGGAGTTTGCAAAGCACTTAAAGATCCTTTTGTATGAAAGGCCTTATTATGTAAACTACTGTATTATTCATGTCTGGAATTTCCATCACTGTCACACATGAACTGGTGACATGAGGCGGTAAAATGAGGTAATTTACAGGAACTCCTCACTTAAAGTCATCCCGTTTAACCTTGTTTCATTGTTACGTTGCTGATCAATTAGGGAACATGCTCATTTAAAGTTGTGCAATGCTCCCTTCTAGCCGTTTGGCAGCCACCTGCTTTGTCCACTGCTTGCAGGAAGAGCAGCCCATTGGAGCTGGCTGGTGGGGGCTTGGAACCAGGGTGGGCTGGCAGCCCCCTATCAGCTCCCCGCTCCCCTAAGTTCCCTGTGCAGCAGCGGCTCAGCAGGCTACCAATTGCCGGCAGTTCAGCTGTCCCTCCCCCACTGCCATGTGCTGCTCCTGCTCTCTGCCTTGGAGCTGCTCCCCAAGAATCCTGCTTGCTGTGTGGGGGGGAGGGGAAGAAGAGGGGGCTAATGTCAGGGTGTCCCCCTCCCCCCTGCACCCCGCTTACCCCATCTTCCATAGAGCAGGGGGGAGCCGTTGCCAGCGGCAGCTGTGGTCAGGTCTCAACTTGCTGATCTAATTAATAAGGCAGTGTACTTCTGACCCCACTCTTCATACTTAAAGGGGAAATCATAGAATCATAGAATATCAGGGTTGGAAGGGACCTCAGGAGGTCATCTAGTCCAACCCCCTGATCAAAGCAGGACCAGTCCCCAACTAAATCATCCCAGCCAGGGCTTTGTCAAGCCTGACCTTAAAAACTTCTAAGGAAGGAGATTCCACCACCTCCCTAGGTAACGCATTCCAGTGCTTCACCACCCTCCTAGTGAAAAAGTTGTTCCTAATATCCAACCTAAACCTCCCGCACTGCAACTTGAGACCATTACTCCTTGTTCTGTCATCTGTTACCACTGAGAACAGTCTAGATCCATCCTCTTTGGAACCCCCTTTCAGGTAGTTGAAAGCAGCTATCAAATCCCCCTTCATTCTTCTCTTCTGCAGACTAAACAATCCCAGTTCCCTCAGCCTCTCCTCATAAGTCCTGTGTTCCAGTCCCCTAATCATTTTTGTTGCCCTCCGCTGGACTCTCTCCAATTTTTCCACATCCTTCTTGTAGTGTGGGGCCCAAAACTGGACACAGTACTCCAGATGAGGCCTCACCAATCTCGAATAGAGGGGAACGATCACGTCCCCTAATCTGCTGGCAGTGCCCTCTCCTTATACATACCAAAATGCCATTGGTCTTCTTGGCAACAAGGGCACACTGTTGACTCATATCCAGCTTCTCGTCCACTGAAACATCTAGGTCCTTTTCTGCAAAACTGCTGCCGAGCCATTCGGTCCCTAGTCTGCAGCGGTGCATGGGATTCTTCTGTCCTAAGTGCAGGACTCTGCACTTGTCCTTGTTGAACCTCATCAGATTTCTTTTGGCCCAATCCTCTAATTTGTCTAGGCCCTCTGTATCCTATCCCTACCCTGAATGGGCCTCTTACTGAATGAGGGAGGCAACCCAGTGACACGGGATGTGGAAAAAGCTAATGTGCTCAATGCTTTTTTTGCCTCTGTCTTCACGAACAAGGTCAGCTCCCAGACTACTGCACTGGGCAGCACAGCATGGAGAGGAGGTGACCAGCCCTCTGTGGAGAAAGAAGTGGTTCGGGACTATTTAGAAAAGCTGGAGGAGCCAAGTCATAGAATATCAGGGTTGGAAGGGACCCCTGAAGGTCATCTAGTCCAACCCCATGCTCGAAGCAGGACCAATTCCCAGTTAAATCATCCCAGCCAGGGCTTTGTCAAGCCTGACCTTAAAAACCTCTAAGGAAGGAGATTCTACCACCTCCCTAGGTAGAATCTCCATGGGGATAGAAAGTCCATGGGGCCGGATGCGCTGCATCCGAGAGTGCTAAAGGAGTTGGCGGATGTGATTGCAGAGCCATTGGCCATTATCTTTGAAAACTCACGGTGATCAGGGGAAGTCCCTGACGACTGGAAAAAAGCTAATGTAGTGCCCATCTTTAAAAAAGGGAAGGAGGAGGATCCTGGGAACTCCAGGCCAGTCAGCCTCACCTCAGTCCCTGGAAAAATCATGGAGCAGGTCCTCAAGGAATCAATTCTGAAGCACTTAGAGGAGAGGAAAGTGATCAGGAACAGTCAGCATGGATTCACCAAGGGAAAGTCATGCCTGACTAATCTACTTGCCTTCTATGACGATATAACTGGCTCTGTGGATGAGGGGAAAGTATTGGACATGTTTTTCCTTGACTTTAGCAAAGCTTTTGACTCGGTCTCCCACAGTATTCTTGCGAGCAAGTTGAAGTATGGGCTGGATGAATGGACTATAAGGTGGAAAGAAAGTTGGCTAGATTGTCAGGCTCAACAGGAGTGATCAATGGCTCCATGTCTAGTTGGCAGCCGGTATCAAATGGAGTGCCCCAAAGGTCGGTCCTGGGGCTGGTTTTGTTCAATATCTTCATAAATGTTCTGGAGGATGGTGTGGATTGCACCCTCAGCAAGTTTGCAGATGACACTAAATTGGGAGGAGAGATAGATACGCTGGAGAGTAGGGATAGGATACAGAGGGCCCTAGACAAATTAGAGGATTGGGCAAAAAGAAATATGATGAGGTTCAACAAGGACAAGTGCAGAGTCCTGCACTTAGGATGGAAGAATCCCATGCACCGCTACAGACTAGGGACCGAATGGCTAGGCAGCAGTTCTGCAGAAAAGGACCGAGGGGTTTCAGTGGATGAGAAGCTGGATATGAGTCAACAGTGTGCCCTTGTTGCCAAGAAGGCCAATGGCATTTTGGGATGTATAAGTAGGAGCATTGCCTGCAGATCGAGGGACATGATCGTTCCCCTCTATTCGAGATTGGTGAGGCCTCATCTGGAGTACTGTGTCCAGTTTTGGGCCCCACACTACAAGAAGGATGTGGAAAAATTGGAGAGAGTCCAGCGGAGAGCAACAAAAACTATTAGGGGACTGGAACACAGGTCTTATGAGGAGAGGCTGAGGGAACTGGGATTGTTTAGTCTGCAGAAGAGAAGAATGAAGGGGGATTTGATAGCTGCTTTCAACTACCTGAAAGGGGGTTCCAAAGAGGATGGATCTAGACTGTTCTCAGTAGTAACAGATGACAGAACAAGGAGTAATGGTCTCAAGTTGCAGTGCGGGAGGTTTAGGTTGGATATTAGGAAAAACTTTTTCACTAGGAGAGCGGTGAAACACTGGAATGCGTTACCTAGGGAGGTGGTGGAATCTCCTTCCTTAGAAGTTTTTAAGGTCAGGCTTGACAAAGCCCTGGCTGGGATGATTTAGTTGGGGATTGGTCCTGCTTTGATCAGGGGATTGGACTAGATGACCTCCTGAGGTCCCTTCCAATCCTGATATTCTATGATTCTATG